GATGGGCTGAATTGCACAAAACGCATGATCACACCGGCTAGTCTGGTGCGCGTTGCCATTTATTTTATTTCATTTTTTGCCTTATCCTTCAATTACTGCATGGGTTTTTATGTGAAGCAAGAAATTAGATGTTGGATGAGGGCTGGTAAGCGTGTGCTTGCATATCCAAAATTTCTCTGAACAACAAATCCAGTTCTTATGTTGGATTATGTTTTTTCGCAGCTTTTTCAAAATACGTAGAAACGAGTGCATTTTCCTCAGAGCGAGTGCGTTTTTCCCCAAAGTGGACCTTTTTTCCAGAGCGAGTGCATTTTGCAGATCCGAGCCGAATTGCCGGTCTCATGGAGTGATTTTCCGTGCCTGGCGCATGCCAACTCGCCTTATTTGCGAGTGAAACGATTCATGGAAAGATTACTTTTCTTACTGGAAAGGTTACTTTTAAAAATGTAGTCATCGAATTCTGCTATGAAAGTAGTTACCACATGCATAGCCTCTAAAAGGGCTTTGGCAAACTCTTCGGCGACAGCTGTTTGTCTAGGATTCGGCTGGCGAATGCAAAATATCAAAAGAGAGGTGAAAAGAGACTTCTGAACAAAGTGTGGGGGAAAAGGCCAAAAAAAGCCGCCTGTGTTTGACAAAACAAGAGCGGTTGAACATACTTTGATGACAAAAGAAATCATTGCAGACATCGCCGGAGCCTATGGATCAAAAATGCTGATTTGTCCAGCTGGAAAAGTTGGACGAATAAGGCTGGGCAAATCAGCACTGTATTCGAATCTTATCGATTACGAGTTGCGAATGAGGGTTATCCCTCCAGGCAGGCAGTCTCGTCGACAAGCACATTGAGATGACGGCACGCTGAAAGCGAGTTAATGCGTAAGCTTCTTTTCTTTTTTACAGTGGCAATTTAAAATTGCATAGGGGTCCCTGAGAGTTTCATACATGCGCACAGAGGCATAATTTTGCCTTTGGATGTTTTTAATTATCTAAGCTTGCACATTCATTTTTGTGCTTTTTTCAGCGGCCGGGACAGGAAGGATGTATATGGTTGGTGTAAAAATATATCGATGATTAATGTATTGGAAGTATTTTGCGAAAATACCAGTATTCTGCTAATATGCGCGGCACTCGGCCTATCTGTCAGACAAAATATCGGAGTGGAATTGGATAAAGAAGATTGTTTTCCTGACGCAGCATCCAGCGCATCTTGTGAGCAAGGAAATACAGGCTGCGCTGGGTGAATTTAAGAAAAATGCTGAAGTGCGTTTTATTTCTAAGGACTGTCCCTGCTTTGTTTTTTTACATTTCTTGCTACGATATTAGGCTTTAGCGGTATTTGAAATCCATACTTGAGGTATGTGGGACAAATGTAATTGATTTTGTGGTCCTGAGGCACCAGTCTGTCTTTTTTTCACTTTTAAGTTACGTCTTCCATCTTTCGTTTTTTGAAAGAAAATACTAGATGTGCTGTAAAATTCTTTCCATCGCTTTTATAGTTGAACTACGTATGTAAACTGATTCTGTAGTTTTAGTTCTTGTCAAAATGCGTTAATTGAATATCTAACTTGATGTGATATTTTTTCAATTTTCTAGGTTTCTTGCGGTATTTTTACAAAAG